TGCTCTGAGATCCCATAATTCACATTAAGATCAGGTAGTCAAATTCCACCATAGAATTCTCCACTGTCATTTCCAGCCTACAGAGCACAAGCCCACAGAAATCTTCAAAGATGCTGGTGACCCTCTCACCAATGCATTTCTTAATGCCTTGGAGTATGTCTGCACGAATGCCCCTAACCCATATATAAGGATTTCACTCCTTCCCTACTAGTGTCCTTACTTCATTGCAAAAGCCACTACAGGTGGAGCATTTAATAAGCAGTGGAACTGCAACGTTATGAGGATCTAGGCTTGGTTCTCAGCTATATCTACCCTAATATGAGGGACTCCTTCAAACTTGCCATGGAGGCCTTCTGGTACTCTACATGTGTTCTCTATTTTATTTTCATAGCTACCAATGTCCTTTCTCTATGCATACTCTTTAAGGTCATGAGATGAACACAGGTGACTCTATAACCTTTTTCATAATTATTTTGGCCTCAGTGCTTAAGTGACACAGCCACTTGATTTCCCAAAGCTTTGGGTTCTACCTGCACTTCATCCCATGCCATCAGTGCTGCTTGAGTAATCATGATACTACTACATGCCATGTACCTGTGAACTCCTACTAACACCTGCCTCCCACTTTCCTGACCTCCATTGTAAGGAGGTGATTCTTTCCTTTCTCAAATAAATGAGCAGCCCAATTCCTGGGGTAACTTCTCATATCCATTAACGTATTCGAGAAGTGCATTTCATGAAAAAGGGGTCACATTCACATTGGATATTTTGAGGGGAGTTTTTAACAAAGGAGAATACATAAAAATTGGGAAGCATATTGGAGAACCACAGGGATAGTGTAATACACCATGGCTAATAAAGACGGGATTGCCAGCAGTAAGCCTAGTGACAAAGGCAAAGACAGGTTACTAAAACTTGGGGATACAGAGCCTATGTGGAGAGGGCCACCTTTTAGGAACCTTGAGAGAAGAGATTCCATCAGCATCTGATGACACAGCAGGGCACAAGCTGGGGGAAAAAATTTCCTGACTACATTCTTTACTGCTGGTTTCCAGAGGACAAGGGAGCCCTTTGATGTGGTCCATATAGATAAGACTCCCCTGGGACACAGACCAGGGTAGAGAAGGGCGGAAAGTGAATTAGGATCGAAAGATGAGGAGATATCCAGCAAATGGGTGAGGGCCACACTAGTAGTACTGACCAGGAATTGTGCCTGCAGCTTTATTTATGTAAGGAGGAGGGTAAAAGCCATATTGTTCTATGAGGGTTAACTCTAGCAAGACTGAGATTTGCCTGAGCTAAAATAAGAAATGCACCTTCATGGCACTGACCCATAGTAAAAGCATAAAACATACTGGTTAAGAGTGTTGTTTTATAACCATGGGTATGAGGAGTTTGGGGTGATTTGTACTAGCTTGTCAGTTTTATTGATAACAGTGAGATTGATCTGGTGTTGGTGAACCTCTCTGCCAAGAATTCTGCTGCTGAGGCTGTCTACATAACAAGAATATGCCTACACAACCAGCAGTATACCAGAAACCTGGACTGAGACTCCATTTTTCATCCTCTGGTTTTCTATACATGCATCAATGTTTCCTGACCTGAAGGATAAAGTGCATCTTGCCAGAGCTCTTATAGAGAGGAAAACACAACTGAAGCTATGAGACAGGTTTTGGTTATGATATGCATATTTAATGCTGTCACTATATTGCATCTATTTTTCTGCAATAAACTGTAAATTTGCAATCATTGCCATTTGGGGTCCCATGAGTCTTCTTTAGCAATAGAACTGTATAGCTGTCACAGTTATCATGGCATCTAGAGCAAGAAATACACCATACTATGAGATGCCTTGCCTTTGCCTTTGTTTATAGGCGTGGTTTGCTCTAAAGATACTTTCAGGATATATGCAGTAAATATATTAATCCTTGCCTTTATGGATTCTTACTCCCAACCTTTGTTTTATAACTTAGAAAGGGCTTTACCTCCCCCAACCAAAAAAAAAATGAGACACTGTTAACTTTTTTCTTCTGCTTACCTTATGGTTTACACTTAATATGACTAAAATCATAATGAATATATAAATCGGCGGTGATTAGCCTTTAGTGTGAATCGGAATCACCTAGGGAGCCTGTTCAAAATGGAGATTCTAGAGCTCCACTCTGTGGATCCGAGTTGGAGGTCAGAAGTTCACATTTTCAACAAAGTCCTTCGGTGATTCTGACATGTGGCAAACCAGCACACTTTAAAAATTCATGAATAGGCATCACAAGAATAGAAGAATAGGCACCACATGTACTCGCCATCAAATTGGCACTAACTGAGCAATACTAAGGTGCTCACGCAGTAGTGATATTCTTTAGGGATTGGAGGGTTGAGGGTGGGTAAACTCACAACTAATGGACGCAGTGAGCGTTGCAGGGGGGAAAGGGCAAGCCTCAAATCATGGTTTGGGTGTGGCAAAGTCATAACATGTAACCAAAATGTTTGTACCCCCATAATATCCTGAAATAAAAAAAAATTAAAAAAATAAAAATTCATTAATAAAATGAGATAAGGTTAAATTTGTGGTACAGACCCTTCTCCACGGTGTTCCTTTTAGGACTGCAAGTAAACGCTGCTAGAGAAGTAGAGTCCACAGTTATTTATGTAGACAGAGAATGATCTGGGACAAGGAATCTTGACTCAGCTATCATTATTTACATGTTTATTAATATTAAGAACCTATTACCTGTCAGGAACTGTGCTAGGCCTTAGGGGGTGCCAGGATAAAGAGCAGGTTGTGCTTTGAGAAACAGAGTCCAATTTTTCTCAACTTTTAAAAACTGCAGCCCAGAGTCATCACAACTCAGGTGTATACATGTGCATTTATACATAACTGAAACACAAATTTCACAAAACAATACTCATTCTACCTACCTGTAATACAATCTAATATTTACTATCAAGTTCTGATCAATTTTGTTCTATCCTATTTCATTAAAAAATATTGCATGTCTTGACCCACTGAATTTGTTTTAAACTCTACTAATGTAGAGAAGTGAAACTGCAGTTTGACAAACACAGATTTAATAATCCGTGATGTAAATCCTATGTAGCACATGTATTTATCCTTCTACGCATGTATTTCATGAGAAGGTGGAAGTGGGGAAGCTAAGAGTCTCCTTGCAAATATGTGCTTCTCGAACCTTAATGTGCACAGGAATCACCTACAGCTCTTGTTAAAATCAGAAAAGAGTCTGATTCAGTAGATCTAGGATGCAGACTTGAGATTCCACATTTCTAACTATCTTTCGAGTGATGCCAGTGCAGCTGGTCCATGGGCCACTATGTGAGTAGCAATGAATGCTGTAAAAATCACAAATGTGGGAAGGTATGTTAAACTGGTAAGGTGGGACCTGTCAGGAGTTGCCTAGAAGAGAATTTCCACTAAGGAAAAAGGAAAAAGTGCCACTCAAATTTTATCCCAGCTTCCCATATCTGAATCTGGTGGAGAGATGGCTGTATGCAAAAAACAATTACAAACCAACAAACACAGAAAGGATTATTTTGTTAAAAAATCTGAAATCCCTCAGGGGCTGAAGGATCACTGAGCTTTTACCCTATTGGTTACATATAATTCTAAAGTGAGGGAAAGGGCTTTATCTACACTTCTATAGTTGTTATGGGGTGGGGTGGGTTAGCTTGGCTCATTAGTGACTTCAGTGAAATCAATTGGGCTTTGTCACCTTGAGGATGTCAGCACATCAGCAGAAGTGGTAGCCTTATGAGGGTGCAGGACTTATGAGAAGGACATGAGCCCTTATGGTGCCCAGCAGACATGACATTACCCAGGGGAGGATGGCACCCACCTTTTACCTTCCTGGTCTTAATCTGGGTACAGATAAGATGTACTCCAGTTATTCTCCAACTGTGTGATGGGTTCTTGTTTCTGCTAGTGCAGGGGAAAAGCTAGATGCCAACCCAACACACCTCACATACTCTGTACCTCATCTAATCCACTCAGCAGTTCTGGAAAGCAAGTATTACCTCCATTTGACAGAAGACAAGACTGTTCCTTAGAGCAATGGATCTGCAATAATCACAGGTTGATTCCTCCAGATATGAATCCCAGAGGTAATGTGAATTTTACCTATCATTTTAAGTTCTGACAACAAGAATTTTAAGTGTCTCCACTGTCTTCATAAGCTCACTGAACAGTTCTTCTCATTTCTTTTTATATGTAGTTTTTTGACTTTTAAAATATTTTTTTGTGTGAAGATTAATCTGTATTCTCTAGGAAAAAAAATAAACAGATGAGCAGAAAGAAAGAAAACAAAGAAATGAAATCACCCACTCACAACTCAGAAAACCACTGTTAACCTTTTCATGAGCAAAACTTTTTATTTTTCGCTGG